GATCATGACAAGCAGAAGGGAGGAAGATATACCAAGCCAATTGACGGCTCCTTTTGGGAAAATTGTACCACCGATGACATCATCAGCAAAAATACCCCAACACTACCACAAGTCGCTGCACCAACAGATAGTTCACACCCAGAGGTACTTCTTCAATTTTTGTTGATGTGTTAGTATCCATTATCTCTTTTTCATGCTTATCCTTCTACATCCTTTTCTTCACCACAGTAGTATGAGACTGCAAAATGCATTTTCCAGAACCTCTTGCCTGTTGGCATTCAATGGGAGACACAAGATGGACAGTTGGAAGAAAGCAGCCATTTTTTTTAATGCTTCTGCTTACATCTATCTGTGTTAGATACAAAAGCAGAAGCCACATCAGTGTCAGCAGCAGCAAGGACAGGAATAGTGGTGACAATAGCATTAAACTCAGCTGTTTGAGAACATAGAAGCTAGGGTATCTGGTGAATGCAGATTCATAGGTTCTAGAAAAAACTTTTTTTTTGTTTTGGTCTTTCAGCTCTAGGTGTGATAGTAGTTTAGTGTAATAACCAGTTCTTAAATGAGGATAACCTAATTTTCCTCATTTTATACCTATCGGCAATTCCATTATTTCTACAATGGATTGCCTATAACATATAGTAAACACCCTGCTTACCAAATCCCTAGATTTGTTACTGTTTTCCTGATTGGGCAGAAACTAAAAAATGTGGTTATAAATCAGCATGAGTGTGCAACATCAGCTGATAAGGTGTACCTTAGAAGGCACCATACCTTGAGAAACATTCAAGGAAGACTCAATTAATAATATCAACTCCACCTACAATTCTTCTTTATCTCTTAGTAGAGATAAACCTGGAAACTCTTGAGTCCAGTTTAATTTTTTTTTTTTTTGGAATTTGCTGGCATTTAAACTCTTGTCTGTGCTATGTTTATTTCCCAGAAGGTCTGCATTCAAATTATTGACAAAAATTGCAAACCTTTTGTTTGTTGATCTCTTTCTTTTTTAAGACAGTAATTCACCACTGTTATCTCCCTGTACTTTTTTTCCCCCATTAGGCTCTTAAGAATTTTAAATTTGTGGTTTTCCTTTGGGGTTTCTGCTTCTGTTTTCTCTAGGAACTCTTCTTTGCAGATAAGCTGGTATTCAGAAGGAGAATCCTTGAGAAGAAAAGACTTTTCTAAAGTCTGTAGCAAAAATGCAATTACAGAGGGAAAAAACAAGGTCAGTGTGGGAAAAGTCTTGTGCCATAGGTTCATTATCATCATATGTAGCTTCTAACCAAGATCAAATGCAGAGAAACTCTTACCCACTGCCCCTCACCCAAAATGAAAAAGGAGCATTATATCTAAACTATGGATAATTCCATAAGTTACCACAGTCAAATTATGCACATACTTCTACATTTAGGAGTTATTCCTTCATCAGTCTGAGCAATGGAAATAGGGGTTACTGATCTCCAGTTTGGAAACCAGTCACAAAATGGCCTATGGTGCTGATAGACTCCTTGACCTTTAATACTCAGCATCTGAGTCCACATACTTTTCTCCCCTTGTCTGCATATAATGCAGATATGGTAGTTTGAGAAGTTGACCCTTGATTAGACAAAAAAACTTGGAAGAAAAAAAAATTAACTGCATATTTAAATGTCATCCAGAAGCAGGAAAAGGCAAGCAGCCAAGCTTTTCTAGTTCTTTATTCCATCATGTGATGTTGCTTGGATATCAGTTTATCCACAGACCAAATCTCTACCACCACTTCGTGAGTAGAGAGACTTGCAAGAAAACTACATGAATGGCAGCTTTTAAAAAGAAGGGAACTACAACACAAGGTAGGTTATTTTTAAGCAAATCTGTCATTTTGTTTTAGATTTAAATTATTCTGTAGATTTTTTTCCTCCCTAAATTCCACAAGATTTTTAATCAAATTTTATCAGGATATAAACCACTTAAGTAGAGTAGGTAAGGTAGATTTCTTCAGCAATAGCCTGAGTAAAATATACATGAACTGCTGTCACAAGAAAGATCATCAGTCATTTCCTTATGCTATTTGAGGACAGAAGAAATCTTTCCTGCTTTGGAGAATATTTATTCTTTGCAGAGCTTGAAAAATGGGAGGAGGGATATTGAGATGATTTGAGTGCAGGTTAGAGCGTAGGTTTCAATCACAGAAAATATTAATACAGTGAATCTTGACTGGTATGGTTTCTGGACTGCTCATCAAAGGAAAGTAGTATTAAGTAAAATATATTCATAGCTTAATTTATAATTTATATCATGGATATAATACACAGATATGCTGATGGATCTTTCTCTAATTTCTCTTCTGCAAGATCTGAGCTTTAAGATCCAGAAACTCAGACTGATCAGAATTTTCACACATTTTAAAAGACATTAAGTGTGTGTGTGTGTGTGTGTGTGTGTGTGTGTGTGTGTGCGCATGTGCGTGTAGCTATATGTATGCACACAAGCATTCACTAATGTAGGGTAGAGAGAGAAGAAACTGTTAGCAAGTGAGATCATTCTATGTGTGTTATCTCAGTGAAGCAGCTGATGAGGTGTGCATTATAAGCACCATCATGAGATGAGGGGCCAGGCTCAGTGGCACGTGCTAGTAATCCCAGTGGCTCTAGAGGCAGAGGCAAGAAGATCATGAGTTCAAAGCCAGCCTCAGCAAAATCGAGGCCCTAAGCAACTCAGTGAGACCCTGTCTCTAAATAAAATACAAAATAGGACTGGGGATGTGGCTCAGTGGTCAAGTGCACCTGAGTTCAATCCCTGGTACATGCCTCTTCCCCTGCCAAATAAAAGAAGAAAATGATGAGGGGACAGGGGATGACAGAAGTGGAGAAACTCAAGTCTGTCCAGTTCTAAAGGCCACCTGATTATCTATTAGATTTCTTCTGTTAGCCTGTCATACAGGTGTTGATAATAGTATAATATGCTCAGAGCATCTGTTACTCTATGTGATTTGTTGTGATCTTACTTCCTGTAGATTGTACTCCTAGTGAGTGCAAAGGAATGTACAGAGTGGAAAATGCTCAGCATTTTTGCACTTTGCCTTGGATACTCTGTTCCAGTAATACCTACTTTTCCAAGATTAATTTTTTTTTATTATTATATAAACCTCAGATTCAAGGCTCTAAATCAAATGGAAAGAAGACTTAGAGCAGGTACAACTCCTTCATTCTGTATCTTTGTCAGGCAAGTGGAAAGAAACATGACTAAGTTTAATATTTTATTTTATAGTAACAGTGCTATGAAATTGCAGATATAAATGTGCAAGCAGTGGAGAATGATGTAATGATATGCTACACTGCTACAAAAAATCATATTTTAAGGAATATTTCGGACCACAGAAGGTTCACAACATATAGATATTGTGATCACCTCTTTCTCAAATTAAACAATGTACAAGGAAAAAAAATAAACAAAAGGAAACCAGATACCAACAACAGTTAGCTATAGGAAATCTTAATTTCTTCTCTAATTTAAAACTTTTTCAAACTTTCCAAAATAAGGTATATATATATATTGCTTTCAGAATCAGATAAGATGATAAAATTATTTAAAATGTTTCTAGAAATAACTACTATACACATGGTAAGAGCTCTACAAGCCACCTGTTCCAAGCACAGTGAAGCCGAAAGATAAGGGCTCTGAATTGTGTCTTCCAGGATGAGGAGTGAAATAGGACAAGAGGCAGAACTAAGTAGCCTGGTGAGGTCTAATTACTTGGAAATGTGAGAAAATATTCTTATTCCTGGAGCAAATAACATTTACTTATTGACTTGTTTACTTAGGTACATCACCCGAATTGGTTGCACAGAGTGAAATTTTATGCTATGCTTTGTTTTTTTCTTGGACCTACCGAACAAGGAATGGGAGAAAACAGGAAAAGATGACAAAAGTCTAGGGGCGTTGCACAAATTCCTTGCATTTGAGTCCCTCCCTCTGCTTCTGATACTTCATTATTGAAAGTACCACAGTCTATTCACAGATGGAAAGAGCTTGTCTGTCTCTCTTGGAGGCTGTATGACTTTTTTCTAATATCTGTTTATCCAGCCTTAGGAAGAATGTTTGAATCAGGGCATGCCTGTAATCTCAAAGGCTCAGGAGGTTGACGCAAGAGGATTGCAAGTTCAAAGCCAGCCTCAGCAAAAGTGAGGTGCTAAGCAACTCAGTGAGACCCTGTCTCTAAATAAAATATACAATAGGGCTGGGGATGTGGCTCAGTGGTTGAATGCCCCTGAGGTCAATCCTAGGTACCAAAAAAAAATGAATGTTTGATCCAAGGTAAGTGCGATAAGACATCTGAGTGAAGAATAAGCACTCATATGACCTAATCTTAAACCTGTTCAATTGCAGGAGTTCTGGTAAACTGTAACCTCTTCATAGATGACACCCACCAGTGTGGAAAACTTACTAATTGGCAACATGGTGGCTTCCTGTTAGTGCACCCTCAGCCCCTTTGGGTCAAAGTTGTTATTGCCACTCCCTTCCATTCCCTCAAGGAAGGATAGGCGAGGGGTTGAAATATGAGGAATGTTAACCTCTCATTTAAAATGTGTTTTAATTAATTTAAATTATATTTAATTTTAATTCTATTAAAATGTATTTAAATATAATTTAAATTTTTAAAATTTAAAATTTAATGTTAATTAAATATATATATGTATATATATACATATATATGTGTGTGTGTGTGTGTGTGTGTATATATATATATATATATATATATAACATTACTCCTGGTTTAGGATGTTTGGAATTTTACTAAGGAAAAGAAATAGACTTTCTTTTTCTTTGTAAAATAAAACTGTAACTTTAAGGATTTTCTCATATGATGAAAATTCCCATTGTACTTTTGGAGCTTTACTCTTCAAATTGGCTTGCAATTTTCATATCATCTTGTTCGCAATCATTTGAGAAGCTTAATTAGTTGTGCAGGAATGGAATCTTTTCTCTTCTTCAAATATGTTACCTTTTAAACTATCTAATTCAGAAACTGTAAGACTAAAGTGAGGCACTTGGCTTTGCTACTTTTACTCTGAGTTTATTTTCAATATCACGTTTAAGGTCTCTAGACCTCAAAAAAATAAAATTAAACTGCCTAGTATATTTCAATTCTGCACAAAATTTCTAACAGGTAAAAGTCATCTTATCCTACTGTTATATAAATATATATACCTGCACATATGTATCTATGTACACATGGACATATGTGTATATATAGTTTTTATTGTATAGTTACATATATTATATATTATATAAGATTATTATATATCATAAATAATTATATATTATATACAAAGTATGTATATTATATAATTATATATTATATATAAAATTATAAATTTTAAAAAAATTATATAAGAATTATATATAAAATATATAAAGTTACCTGGAGTTCAACTAGTTTTTAAAATTCTATCATTGCTTTTAATTTTTTTCACCTAGGATGAGCTTATTTTACCTTGATTTTTCTAGAACATTGATGCCACTGTCTCAGTTTCCCTACCTATAAAATGAGCACAATAAATTGACCATTTCATTGGATTGTTATAACTTGGGTTGATGGATTCAAAATGCTTAGTATGGCATAGAATACGCGCCTAATACATAATAGCTATTGAAGACATGGCCCTTTTTATGATGGTAGCTTTTTGATGGATGATAGCCTAACCAACCATCTATCTTCCCTCAAGCTTACTGTCTATAGCAAGAATAAAGTGATCTTTTTTAAATGAAAATCTGATCAGTGTAAAGGATGACATTTTGAGTTAAAGAATTATTTTTTGCAAAGGAGTAGAACTGCCTATGCTTTGCAGGATGCTGAGCAGCACGCCTGGCCTCTACCCCTAAGGCCAGTAGCACCCTTTCCCCTCACCCCAACTGAGATGATCAAAAATTTCTCCAAATGTGTATTGGGAGTCAAAATCATCCCTGTTGAGTATCACAGCCTCCAATAAAGAATTTTAATGACTTCTCATATGAAACCTAATCTTTAAACCTTACATGGGATAAAATGCTTCCATCATCTTCCCTTACATAATTCTACAATTATGAAATCAGAGTCTATGCTCCCTTTGAACTTAAAAAAAAAAGTCTGATTCCCTACATATCCAGATATTTCATGCCCCATAGGAGAAATTGCGCCACTTTATCCCTCTGTCTAGAATTAGCCTTTCTTTTCCTTCTAGTATAACAGTTTTCAAATTTTAGCAGTTCTCATATTTTAGTGTGGATGAATAAGAAATCACCTGGAGGGTTTGTAAAAACAGAGTGCTGGGCCTCAGCAATAGAGTCTCTGATTCAGCAGGGCGGGGCCTGAGAATTTGCATTACCCACGGACCCCCAAGTGGTGCTAAGAATTAACCCCAGACATCTGAGATGGTAGGCAAGTACCTTATCACTGAGCTATATCCTCAGCCCTGAGGATTTGCATTTCTGTGGGATGCCCAGGTGTTAACCATACCCTTTGAGAACCAATATTCTAGCCCTTCAGAGACTCCTCCTCACCCTTAAGACTAGGGTTATTTCATTTAGGATATTGGCCATGATTGCCACAGGCAGCTTGCTCTCCTCTGTTTTCATAGCTCCTTTTTATTACAGATGTTGACCTCTTGCCCTATCACTCATCTGTTCATCTGTCTATTGCTCTTGCTTCCTGGGAACTTTCCACTGAAAGTTGCATCCACCCTAAAGCCTAGCATCCTTCCAGCCCTGTGTAGATTCTCACAACCCATTTTCCTCAATAAGGATCAATCAGATCCTAAGAGCTTGAAAATCCTTAGATCTCCTTCAGCAAAAAATCATGACCTACTTACCTGGAATTGTTAACTTCCCATTTTCATCATTACACAGGCCGGTGGAAGATTGTATAAACAAACTAAGGAGGGAAATATGGTCCACTTATTCTTTTCCATTTGTTGTTCATTAAAAATATCTATGTTTAGCAAGAAAAGCTTCTTATTCCTGGGGAAGTTAGCTTTGAATGCATCATACTTTCAATTCTGTAGAGACTCATCACACTCACCTGCTATGCTCTGGCAGGAACTGACCTGAGGGCAACAGCCCTCCTTTTACAGCATCATGAGGATTTACCACTTCAGGCCCAGTGGGAGGCCCTGCAGACCCTCTACCTCCATAGCCTTTGGCACTAGCAGTGGCTGGGTGAGTTTAACTAGCTGACCTGAAACAGGCACCTCAGGAAGGGAAGTGCTGCAGCCCGAAGTCATTTTCTAGATAAATAATTCAGGTAGAATAGCCTCTGCCAGACTATTTTATCAACACGGTTGGCTAGCCAAGTTTAAAAATCATTATCTCCGATGGTAAAGAGCAAAGTTTTATGGGTAAGTTAAGAGGGCTTAAAGAAATCAGAGTATGGATTCTTATAAAATGTGAACAACTCTCTGAGATTTACAGGAATTTGATCTGGTAGATCAAGGGCACTGGGCTTAGAAAACCAGTCACGGGTTCAAACCACGGGTCCACTCCTTACACTCTCTGCAAATGCAGAGGTTTGGTTTACTTACAATAATGGCTACGTTCCTTGAATATTTATCATGTTCAAACATTGTGCTGAGATTTACATATAGCATTTCATTCTCTCCCCACTTAACAGTTGTGGAAAACATAAGCTCAGGCAGATTTATAAATGACAAAGACCACATGGATTGAAAATGTCAGTGAGGACTTCCTGTCAGAGCTGTCACCTCCAAAAGCCATGCATTCCCCCACCTCCCATGCTCTGCTCTCTCTCCTCTTCTAGCAACTCCTTCAGATCATATAAACCACAGATGAATTCAGGGTTGTGAAAGACATGTCTGAAGCACCAATCAAGTGAAAGGCGTCATTATTATTGTTTTCTTTTTTCTTATAGAAAATATTTTCAATTTCCTGCCTTCTCTATTATATTCTTTTCCTAATTCTTATAGAGCATTTTAAAAAAATCCCATCCACTTGGCTTTAGCATAGCTACCTTAAATTATTGTTGTATATTTCTACAAACAGAAAACATCATTTTTGCAAACATTTTACTAAAAAATAACAATGATAAGAGTCATCTTTCATTAAGGACTTCCTAAGTGGCAGACAATTTCTAACAACTTAGCATGTTTTGTCTTGTTTAAAACTCAAACACCCTATGTGGTGGTTGTCTTTGTAGCCTGCATTTTACAGAAGAGAAAACTGAAACATGGATAAGTTAAATAACTTGACCAGGGTCATGAATCTAGGAACTAGAGAGGCCAGGATTTGGGCAGGCCCCCGTGATTATCTGAAAGCCAGTTGACAATTCAGAGTTGTCATCTGATAGCTTTGTTTTCAGAAAAAAAATGCATAGAATACAAAAAAACAAAAAATCCAGAAGCAGAAGCATTCAATATTTAGTGCACATAAAATCCATCTGTCACTTTATTAAAATGCCAATGTCCAGGCCTGGCCCTCTGAGTTTTTGATTCAGAAGGTCTTTGGAACACAGTCAGAAGTCTGCCTTTTAATAAGCAGTTTTATAAAGCACGTGGTTTCAGTGAGGTGATTCTCAAGCAGGTTGTCTGCAGATTGCACTTTTGAGAAACACTGAGAGAGATCAAATATTTCTTTTGCTGAGTTGAAGAAAGTTTTGATATCAAAGACAAGTTATTCATGTGAAGATTCTTCATGACTCTAGTCCCTTTCCAAATGATTTGACATGCTAATCAATGACAAAATATTTGTTAATTTATTGAGTGAAAAAATGCAAAAGCAGAAAACTATACTTTCTGACTTCAAAGGTAATATAATCAGGGAATGCTAGCCATAAAAGTGGAACTCTTGTACACTCACCTAAATATTTGCAGTTTTGTTTTGTAAAACGTAGGCTTTGAAGTTTCTCTCTTTCTCTTTCCCAGGCTATATCACTCAGCAGGAAGCCTGCAGTACTTAGAGATTCCACCAAGAGAGCTCAATCAAGGGAGATCCTCAAAGGAAGTCTTCAGCTGTGACAAGAAAATGTCTATCGGCAAGACCCAAGTTTGTGGTTCTACCCAGGGTCCAAAGCACAGGGCCCTGAGCCCTCAGGAACTGGAAGTCTGTACAGTCTCTACATAGGCAGTTTGCCCATGCGTCTCTGGCATCTGGTGGGTGTTGGGTGCACTGTTGTTGAATGACAATGAATTAAAAAAAAATAACTTCTAATACAAACCTCAGATTTGGATCTAATCTCATTCACAGAATTTTTTTTTTACCAACAAGAACAAGTTGAAAGGTTTTAAAAGCAATAGAACTGAGGGCAAGCTTTTCCATGTTCAGTCTATAGAATAAGATGATTTTCAAAACTTTCAAAATAAAAACTTCCTTGGAATTTGAGCCTCCCAGAGAAATCCCCCAAACAGTGAAAGATACAAGTGGTTAGAAGGTACCAAGCATCCTGTCTCTGCGTGACCATTCTCTGCAAGCCCTCTACTACACACACTGAAAAACACGAACCAGCACAGAGTGAAGAGGGATCAGGTGGGGCTTCTAGAGCTGTATCACCGTAGTGACAACTGGTGTGTCCATCTCCTCCTTGTCCTCTTCTCCATCAGACAATAACATTTGAGTTGGTCCCAAAGTTTCTGGTTCTTGCTGGGTTCAATCACTTTGTGTCATCTTGAAACTTGCACTTATCAACCGCTAGGCTGATTCTACACAGCTGCAATTGGTCTTGACACAGGGAAGAGAATCCATGCACACATCTTCCCCCGGAAGTTGAACAAAGACTCTGAGCAAAACATGAAACAGCCCCAAACAACTAATCCAAGTCCAACCTTCCCATGGTCTCAGAGGTTGTATACAAAGCACACAAGACCATGCAAATGAGCAAAAAATGAGATAACAGTGAGTCAGATCATTGCACAACTGAGATTGTATTATATTATATTTGATAGCTATTTTCATCACCCACAATTTTGTGTGTTAAAAACTAGTCACCAGTATTTGCAAATAAAAAATGTCTCTTCCTCATCTTCGCTTTTAAAAATTCTTTACTGTTGAAATCAGCCAATGACTTTGTCATGTGCATGAAGGAATCGGTTGAAACAGAAAATAAACTTATTTGACAAGGGATGTGTTATATTGATCTGAAAGAAAGATGTTGCAATATTATCAGGGGGGAAAAACTCATTAATGATCATTACATTCTCTCCATAATCATTAGCATAAAAGATATTGAAGTTGTCAAAAGATTCTGAGAACCCACACCACTGTTTCTGACTTTTCCCTGGAAGGGACGAGGGGCGTGGTTGGCCCACCACCGTGATCAGAAGTCTTGGCTTCTCTGGGGTCAGTTAATTATAGAGAAATTTCTCAGCAAATCTGGGTCCTGACTCTATACTCTAAGTAATTTTAAGTGAAGAATTGTTCAGTAGCCTTAAAAGAAGAAAATATCTCAAATAAAATTGGGGTGAGCTCTAGGGTAACCCTCTTAAGGACAGTGGTTTGTGGGAGCCCTAGCTTAACCCAGCTTTCCTTCCCACTATGTCCACCGTGGGCCTTTCATCCCTTCAACTGCTTACATACACTTTTATCCCAGACCATTGTTTTTTTCACGGGCACAGATATTTGCTGGGTCAGCCTTAGCTAGTGATGCAGAATATTAAGAAGGCCACTTAGAATTCAGAACTTCAACCCGGCATCAAAAATCTCAGAAGCATTTTACAAGCCAACGGGCAGGTGAATGTCACAGGCCCTTAAGAATAAACTGGTACAGTTGATACAGGAGGTCTCACTTGATGGCTCTCCTTTCTGAGATGTTAATGCTCCTTCACCCCATGAGCCTCCCACTTGAAGCTTATGAGGAATGTGGCATGTTCTGGAACTGGAAGAAAGATGCTTACCTGAGAGGACACTGAGAAAGATGAACAAAAGAGAAGACCTCTGAAACAGTTAAGCAAGTCTGTAACTTTGACCTGATGGAAACATCTTTGCTTGCTCTCATAATGTCAATGAACATCATCAAAAGTCCTGGAGGTCAATGATCATTTCACTTCAAATGGCTAGCACCTAGAATGGAGCCTGGTCTGCGAGAGGCAATCAACAACACTTATTAAATAACATGAAGTTCTCAAAGATTCTTCCAGTCAGACTGGACTCTGACTGGGTGATGTTATTGTCGGGTCCCAGAAAGCCACAACTACTGATGAGGACTGGCAGTGGTTTATCAAATACAGGTGATTGGAACAGTCCACTCCACCATGGTAACAGAGGGTGCAGTGTCCTTCCCTAAAGGTTTTTTTGGTCTAAGTTCTAAACAGTTGTTGAGGTTACTGTTGAGTTTTAATAATAAATATGTAAGCTTCAAAAGTAGCACATTTTCAATGTTTTACTTTAGTCATTTTACTTTACATGAAAACCACTTCCAAGAACTCCCCATGCTTGGACATGGTTTAAGTGTGTCTGTCCTCCAAGAGCTCATGTGTCAGGAGCCTGGTGCTCAGAGTGGTACTGTTGGGAGGTGGTTGTGGAGCCTAGAAGTGGAACCTAGTAGGAAGTCAATGGGGACATTGTCCCTGGAAGGAATCGACACACTTCTCTTAGGATTCTGGTTAGTTCTCATGAAAGGATGGTTGTAAAAGAATGAACCCAACCCCTGAATGACTCTTGCACTTCCTGTCTTGACATGTGAGCACTCCCTCTAATACATGTTCCTGCCATGATGCCATCTGGGAGCCCTAATTTAAAACCCAGCTTTTCTTCTCACTAAGTGGGAGCCTACTATGTTGTGATACAATCAGGTGAGTCCCCATCAATGTCAGTATAATGCTATTTGGTGTTTCAGAATCTGAAACAATGAGCTAAATAAATCTTTTTTCTTTTTAAAGTTTTCAGTCTTGAGTATTTCATTATAGCAATAGAAAACAGACAATAGATTTGCAATATGGTTGGCCTCCAACCCACAGAAAATTAGCTCAAAATTCCCCAACCATGAAGTTTCTACATAATACCATTCTAGTATTTTTTTACTTTTTAAATGTTTGTTCTTTTTAGTTATACATGACAGTAGAATCATTTTTACATAATTGTAAAGGCATGAAATATATCTTGTTCTAATTCAGTTCCCAGTATCTTTCCCCTTCCCTCCTCCCAACCCCTGCTCTCTTCCTTCTATTGATTTTTCTGCCATTTACCCATGGTTTTTCAAAAATTAATTTCTTGTGGGTGTACAAAATGGTGAGATTTACTGTGGTATATTCATATATAGGAAAGTTATGTCAGATTCGTTCCATGGTCTTTCCTTTATTTAAACAATAGATTTGAAATGAAAAATGAGTGTAAAGATAAGAAACAAAACTCATATGACTAAATACATTACTCCATAGCCATTTAAAGTTTTAATTTGAAAAATCAAGATATTATTTATATGCAGTAAAGGTACTTAAAGTTCAATGTATCTTGACGAATGCATAAAGTCACATAGAATATTTATACTCCTCCCAAATTTCCCTCAAGCATTTTTGTTTTCAACCTCCTCCTCCAAACTCTGACCTAGGGTAACCACTAATTTGCTTTTATCACTGTAGTTTTGTCTTTTCTAGAAATTTACATAATTAGAATTGGTATATATACTCCCAAAGACTATATCTTTCATGTTGGTCTCCTCACACCTAGCACAATGTAATTGAGGATCATCATGTTACCTATATCAGTAGTTTATTCCTTTTCATTCCCTGAGAGAATTCCACTGTATAAATATACCACCTCTTGATTATCCATTCACTGGTTGATGAATATTTGGATTGGTTTTAGACTATTATGAATAAAACTGTTATAAACGTTGGAATTTAAGCCTTTGCATGAATACTACATTTCTACTTTATTTTACCAGATACCTAAGAGTACAATTGCTGCATTATATAATACATTTAAGTTTAAGTTTAACCTTGTAAGACACTGTCATACTGTTTTCCGAGGTGGTTTACCATTTTTCAATCCCATTAGCAATGTGTAAGAGTTCTACTTGTTCTATGTTCTTGCAATTGTTGAGAGCCACAGCCAAGTCGGGATGGCGCCTGGCATTTTTGCCAGAAGGAGTGGTTGGGAGGTGATGCCAGCGAGCCATTGGGATGATGGTGATTAAGTTAGCTGTGTATAATTATTGGGATGGTGACTGCTTGCTGTAACTGGATGATGCTGGATTGTGTATGTGGACCTCTAGTGATCCACAGTGGGGCGGCTCCTGCAGTCTCCGGTGCCCGATACTTTTGGGTTCTTCTGTGGAGTTCCCATTGAGTTCCCGTTGGTTCTCTCGAAGTTTCCATGGAGTTCTAGAGAGTTCCCGTTGGGTTCTGGCAATAAAGTAGTTCCTATTTGAACCTACAAGTGGCTCATGACTTGGGTTTGTGAAGAATAGTGCCACTATGGTTATATTATGGTCTCCTTCTTTCTGTGAACAATGGAAAATTTCATGAAATAGGGTGAAACAGATATGGAGATGGCATTGGTGATAATATTGGAGATTTAACAGAAGAAATCTTAAGGGTTAGCTATTTACCTACTAAGGCAACACTCCAGCTTATGTTTTAGGTGAGGAGGGGTTGAAGCAGGTGAGGATGAGGGGACAACAAAAACCCCTACATGAAGGACAGTCCCTGGACAAAATGGTAGTGTGTTCTCATTAACTTCTTACCTCCTTGCTTATATTGTTCTCAGATTCAACAACCAATACCCCTCCATCATCATCAAAATCTTTATTGCACTGAATTACTTATTTACTGCTGCATGATAAATTAGTCAATACTTAGTGACTTAAAGCGGTAATACTGTCTCACAGTTTTTGTGGTCAGGAGTCTGGGCATGGCTTAGCCAGGCTCCTGGCTCAGAGTTCCACAATAAGGTGCAGTAAAGGTAACAGCTGAGGCTGTGGTCTCACCTGAGAACTCAACCAGGGAAGGAGCACTGCCAAGCTCACTCATGTGGTTATTAGCAGAATTTAGTTCCTTGGAACTTAGTAGTAGTTTTTTACTGGCTGGCATCTGCCCTCAGTTCCCACTACTTAGGCTTCTTAATACAGTAGCTCACAAGTGATGGCTTGCTTCATCAAAATTAGGAAACAGAAGAGAGAGTGCATGTTTATGTAAGGTGAAAGCCACAGTCTTCTATAACCAAATCCATCACTTGTGTGAGTGATGTTCTATTCATTAGAAACAAGTCACTGGGTCCAGCCC